ATTGTTGGCGATGCATTAAATAAACCGATGTTGTCATAATGTGAATTGTTCTACAACGTCATCTCGACTAAACCCAAGTTTTTCACCCATTTCAATTAACAATAGAAAGTAAAAGTATCATTGCCAACGAGTTCGCAAACAATCAAAGCATTATATTATAAATTAGCATAAAATTTTATAATAAATGGATTTTTCCGTTATTGCAAGAACCCTCAAATGAAAATGCGCTTCACGCATTTGACACACATATTTTCAAACAAATGCACTTTTAGTATCGCATACTTGAATAGATAATCGTGATGACGCGTCGAGCGAGGATAAAATGTTAGTTCGGAGAGAAAAATGCGGACTATCGCGTATGCACGATCAATTTAATAGTGGCCGTAATAGACTTTGCGAATCTCAATAAGATAAGAATTGAGGAGAGTCTTGATATTTTTAAGTCGATTCGCTTAATTCGTGTACACGACGTTAGAGGGACTTTAGAGTTTTCCGCGTAAGGATTTCACGTGACGGTTGGTAACCAATGCGGTAATTTCAAAGCTGAATAGTCGATGCCATTATATCTTTGCTTTCTAATTATCCCATTCAAGTTTATATTGTTCGTCTGCAAGGGAAATTCACATTTTCTTTTTTTTAAAGCTGGACACAATTTAAGCGTCGAGTCGTTGGAGGTTTCATCTACGAATATTTAAATTTCGAATGCTCAATATGTAATTTAGATTTATGCATTAATTATACGTTCAGTATTTTAGCACGTACTTCTCAATGCCACTTTTCAATTTATATTCAATATTAGTTAATATATTACATATAATTACGAATTTCAAATTATATAATGTTTCAAATAATCGCCCGTAATAATGCAAAAAGGGCACATTTAAGTCTCTGCATACAATTAGAATAATTTGATAATAGCTTTTTATATAACAAGCCAATTATTATTTCGAAAATCAAATAATAAACAATTTTTAATTTTTAAATAAATAATTAAATATAAAAAAAAAAAAGAAACATAAAACGGATTTTTTATTCAAAATTAAAATCAGACTTGTTTTGTTAAATAATCGTTAGAGTATCTTCTGTATATTCATTGTATATAAAACACCGCCTGAATAGCTAATTTAAAGTATACCAAATTTATTTCAACCTTTAAAATTACTTAAAGCATCTCTTACTGTTCCATATTATCAAATAATCTTAATAAATTATTACTTCTATTGAACACTATCAAATATGTTAATACTAGATATATTAATATATAAGTAGTACTTGCATATATGCATATATCATCATGCATATATGATGTATCATAATTTACAGATAAATATTATTAATATTATTAATATAAATATTACCAATATTAATAGCTTTGTTATTATTTCGTATATCACTGCATAAATAATTTAAGAAACATAATTAATTAACGATCTTACTATAACATAATAAGATAGTATAATTATCTTGTATATTTATACATGCTTGTTTTTTTTTTTTTTTTTTAAGAATTTATTTATAAAGATTATTGAATGTTGCAATGAATATTGTAAAGAAAATATCGATATATTCATAGTATAATTCGGAATATAATTCAGAGTATCTAATCTTCTAGCATTCGGTATTCGAAACAATCGCAATTTCTACAAAATTACAAACAATTGATAAAAATTTTAAATCCAAAGCTTTGTTGAATTAAATTTTTAATATGTTAAATTTCATCTCGTGGCGAAATCTACCCACCCTACCCATTCCATTCATTTTCAAATGGTTTATAAATGATTCTTTACAGAACATATTCTTCTGTGCAACAAGTTTGTATTTTTCCACTTTTTCATTTCTCGAAAAGTACTGTAGATGTAACTATTTTATAAAGAAATTATTTAATCAAAGGTATTTAATTTAAAACATTAGTATTGTTTATTTGATTTCATAACGTGCCATGTATTAAATAACGTTATTCTTACTGCAGTTCAACACATAATAGGCTATATTAAACTATCGTTTGATAAATATCACGCTTACACTGATAATATATTTATTTATTTTTTTTTTTTGTCTGTACATGAGATAATTATTAGACACGTTATAATGAATAATAATGATATTTATTTTAGATGAACAAATTATATCTTATATTACAGCTCAATGGTTAATTGAATTTATCTAATAAATAAAATTAATCTAGATATTGACGCGATTTTGAAATTAAAATGTCAATACTAGCTGGTTTAAAGAATAGTTCCCCGTTTCTCTTCTTTCTTACTTATTATCCATTGAAATTAAATATTGTTTGGATTTGTTTGTTTTAAACGAAATTCATGCTTTTAATGCAGAAAAGAAATAATAATAATTCAATGCTCGCGTGACATTTTCTTGCTTTATGTTTCAATCGATTATGAATTAGAAGACTATAACTGATAGGAAAAGAATAAGTCTGAAAGGAGCGATTTAAAAAGCATTTTCATTTGAAAAAATATGAAAAAATGTCTCCATATAGTGTTTACATAGTATTGTTCATATAATCAAATAGAGAATACTTAATAACTGATAAATAGTGAATTGCTACAAAGTCAGTACATATTATATAATTATGTACAGATTGAATTATACATTTATCTAATACATACTTATTTTGCACTTTACTTTGTATTTATAAATTTAGTGAATACGGTAAAAGAAAAACGTTTAATGTATACAATAAATTGTTGAAAACAATAGAAGATAGATTTATTTAAAATTTCCAAAATAAATAAATAATTCTAATATTTTATATGCACATTAAAGTTTAAAGTACAGTCATATTAATTATATTCGTTATATTCTCTTTTTAAATTAATGATATCATTAAATTTACAATAATTTAAATAATAGGTAATATATATATATATATATATATATGTATACATGACTTTTGAATTTGATTTTATTATAGTGAACACAAACATATTATAATTTCTTATCTATAATATGAATACACAAGTCTAATAATTGTAAAAATTTCTTGTATTTAATTAATCAATGCTAGAAATATGAAAAAATATAAAATTGCTAATTTATCATGACCTAAGGTACCTTAAAAATTTACCTTAATTGGTAAATAGTAATTGATGAAAAAGTGTCCATTTATAGTATTATTTGAAAAATATTCGCACAAAGTAATCTAAATTAAAGACGCAATGATCAAAAGACTTCTTAAAAATAATTATTATTATTCTTAAATTATATTTAAAAATTGGAAAAATCATAAGCTATTTTACTGATTGTAAAATGTTAAAAAAATAATTTATTAAATATTTCAAATATAATTGACGATAGATTAAAAATAAATGAAATTGAAAATATTCATTAAATCCTTTACTATTTAATAATTTAAAATAAATATTTAATTAGTTCTCATTAAGTAAAATATTATTTTTAAATTAAAAATATGAGATTCAAAGAATTTACTCATATTTTGGATGGGCTACACAATAATAAATATATAATTTAAGTGATGTTAGTCATGAAATTCATTGCAATTAAAATATTATTTTAATAAATAAATTCTTAAATTGTATTTAGAAAAAAAAGGAAGATTATATTATAATGGATTAAATATATAAATTTTATCTATATTTTTTTTTTATTAAAACGTACTTTAAATAATATAACATTAGAAATAATCTAATTTTCCGATATTTGTTTTATTTAATTATTTTATATATAAATGTTTTTTTTTTGTCGTATTATTAAGTTCATGACAATCTTAATCTTATCGGATTGAAAATAAAATGGCAATGTGTCAAATTATCATAAACATTAGTTAAAAATATTAGTCAATAAAATAATTTCTCTAATTTTTGCATTTTTATGATTGAGTAAGTACATCATTAATTTTCTACAATAATCTGATTAAGCTATCGAAATGATAAGATTACGAAAGTTGAAATTGTTCATAAAAAGCAATAATTGGGGATCTTTTATCGGGAGATTGTTTACTTATAAATAAAATTAATTACAAATTACATTTTATTATTAATCATTTCACTATAATTTTATTTGTTCGAAATTTCAGCTTAAAAATATCAGCAAGTAATATAATCAGAATTACAGTAGTCGCATATGTGAGCGTGTTTATTTTAAATGAAAATGCGACAGTGGCGTGTTAAATTCTGCGTGAAAAACCTTTTTCTGTCAATATTAAGAATTTATAATATTTGTTGCTATAGTTATCGCTATAATAATTAAAGGAAATGGTAAAATTAATTTTTAAATATTCAAAATTTTTATTATAATTTTTAAAGTTTTTCCTTTTAATTATACATCTACTATGAGCAAAAACTAAATTTTTCATTAATTGTTTATTCAGATTTATCGCATATTTAACGTATATTTGAAAATATTATTTCTGGCATATATTTATTGTTTAAAATGCGTGCATGTATGCGTATTTATAAATGTGTGTGAAAACATATATTGAAAATTTGATTAATTCAACAAAACCAATGCAGATTCTATAGATTATAATACTCTAAAATGTTTAGTAATTCAATTCGTGCATAAAAGCAATAAAATTTCAAGTATCGTTTTATTTAATTTTAAGAAAAAAAAAAAAAAAAAAAAACGCTATAGTATAACAAATAATATATAATTTTTATTCAGAATGATTTCGTTTAAATAAGAATGTTTATTTTTCTTTATATATAAATATTTAAAATTTTTGTAATTAACTTTTAACACGTACGCTCCGCTTTGAATCTTTCGTTTATTTAAAGAAAGCACATTCTTTTACTAATTATTAATTGCTTTGTAGTACATATGAATCGTCCATATGGTGTATGCAATTAATTATAAGTGCGTGCAATTTAATCCATTTTAATAATATAAGAATTTTTCAAGTAGTACTTTATTATACTGAATAATGGAAACAATGGAAATGAAGAATCAACGAAATGCTATACAAATGATATCATAATGATGAAATGAGCAGTAAAAATAAGATTTATGCTTAAGATACTCACATTTGTTGCTTTGTCGTGTCAGTCCTTTCAGTCTTCACGGAAAATATCTCCTGACTATAAAAATACTTCCTTACTTCTCCGTCGTCTTTTTTTCTCGAAATCTCTGTCTCTCTCTCTCTCTCTCTCTCTCTCTCTGTCACCTGCAACATACGAGGTAATTCGTAAATAGTTACTGAGAGAAAAAAATGTTGTAATTGTGTTCCAATGACAGGGCAATACTGCTATTTTTTGTAAGACATTATCTTATCATTCTATTTAAGCTCAAGGCATACCGTATGTATCAACACAAGTATATAAAGGTGAAATGGAAACAAATCCTCTCGAATATGTTTTGCGTAATTCGTGCACGTACACATCTTTGTATGCTACAGGAACATTAACGATAATTAAAAGAAAATATAATTAAATTTAAGATGATAATATAAGAGACTGTATTGAAAACATAGAAAACGTATGAAATTATGCATCGAAATACATAATTTAAATAATTTGCAATTAATTTGAAAGCAAAAATGCACAATTATTTTCCCATTTACCAGTCTATACTCGGCGAATTGTAGAAATTATAAGCAGTAAATGATTTACACAATCTATACTCTTTTGTGCATTGCAATTGAAAGTTTTTAATAATTGTATAAACCTTAAAGTTTTGTTTATATATCATGCAATAAGCTGACCGACTTAAATACAACTTTTGCATAATGTTAGTTAAAAATATCATCAATTTTCCTTAAATTTTTACGTTTATTATTGTGTATTAAATAATTTATCAGAATGTCGTATATCACGAAAATTAAAAATACTACAGACATCACAGTATCAATAATAGCGGCTTGTTCATATTTGAAAAAAAAATAAGAAAAAAAAAAAGAAAAAAAAAAAAGAATCAATCAAAAAACGAGCAACAAGTACATAAAGTGCAACGTATAGAAAAAAAAATGCTCAGTGGGATTAATCATCGTCAGGGTGAGTATACTATCTGACGCGCCTCGTGATTCAGTGTCAAGCATTTAGGTCATTGTTCCAAGCGTGCGTACGTTAAAACAATTGAGAATACATAAAATCGCGAGAAAATTCTAACGATGAGTCCTTGTACACGAAGAAGAAGGAAAAGACAAGGTCTCGAGGTGAAGAATTAAAATTGGTTAAATCGTCCCTATTTTGAGCAACAATGAAGTTTGGTACTACTGCGTGGGCTTCATATCCATTCTCGTTTTTTTAGCCCCCCCCCCCGACAACCCACACCACCCCCCACCAACCGCCATGTATTTATGGTGATAGATAGTTTAAGTGCGCGTAAGTCGTCCAATTAGTAATATTTAAATATACACTTCCTGTTTCATATGATTTAAACTTCATACATAAGCAAATGCACATACTGTTGCCAATATATTTAGTAGATTTTCTTCAGTGGCCAAATTGATTTTCCGAGTTAATTTGATTTATGAGATAATAATTATTTACGCAATTAATATGATTTGATATATAATAATACTATGTAATGTTATGATATATTTTCAACAACAATATGAACAACGACACCGTACACAGTGTTTGAGTATATTGATTGGTATTACCTGATATAGTAGCTAGTCTGAGACACCTAACATTTTACATTAAGTTAACAGAATTATTCTGAATATAAAATTACGTTTATCTTTCATATAAAAGATTCATATATTACATACGTATAAATGAAATAGCAACTATTTATATGAATAACTAAATAACGATTATACGATTTTATTTCAATGTGACTCTTATGTAATAATCGAGTACACAAGATATCATCGATCTAAATAGAATAAGCGTACAATTATGGAATTACGAAGTGATTTCTGCATTGCCATCTGGTGATTACAAAACGATAAACTTTTTTTTTTAATATAGAAGAATGTTTAAACGAAGTTTTTATCATTTATCATTTACTTTGTCCAGCTACACTTTAAATGAGTATACTCGTAATTAGTTTCTATACATAAATACATCCCGAAGTAAATAAATTATTTGTTGTTCATATTACTTTATTAAGTTATACCGAAAAGAAAAATAAAAAAAATTCATTTCTTACTTTTTCGCATTTTATTTTTTCAAATTTCGCAGCTTGTTATATAATATAGTTTTTAACTATTATAGGTAATAGATTGTTCCATTTATTAATTTATAATGCTTAAATAAATTTGAAATTATGAAAGAATAAAAATTGCTTTAAGCGGATAAAATTTTTATATCGTTATCAGAAAATGAGAATTTTATTAAATATAAAAATTAATTGTATATCATTATTAAAGTCATTAATATCTTCATGTAATTTACATTTTAAATATTCCTTTATTATTCTATATATTTCATTAATAAATGCATGCTATATTTTTTTTCATTAACCAATTGAAAAAAAAAGAAAGAAAAAAAAAAAGTATTGTATTGTAAAGAAAGCATTATTGACATTTATTTCAATTTTTGGAATATTCTTCGAGTAATCATCACTCTTTTATTCTTATATTTCAGCATAGAAAAATTAAAAATTAAAGAAAGACTTAATATAAAATAAATCAAGGTTAAGGTTATAACCAACACACTTAACCATATCAGCCGTTAAGTAAAAGTTTTAAAATAACATGCGTTTATCGATATTCTTAAACTTATCTTTACTTATTAATTTAACGAATTAAACGAGTAGTAATTATGAAAACATCAGCAGATAGATTATCTTCCTCATAATTGAATAATTATTACTATATATACGAAATTAGAGCATCTTTTAAAAAAAAATATAAAAAATTTCGATCTCTTTTGAGGAGTGTATTTTTCTTCCGAATACTCTGATTAATTAACAGTTATTTCAATATGAACAATTACATTATGAATACGAGGGAGACAAAAAACAAATTGAAACTTAATAATTTCTATACTACAATATATTTTTATTTGATGATAATATTTCAACGTAAGTTCTTAGTAATTATGAATTTTACATAAGATTTAAGCACTATCAGATATTTATTCTTTTATCAATTTCATACACAATGAATCATGAACACGAATATTTCACAATTCTTTTAATATTAATGAAAATTATTTAAAAATCTAAAAATAAAAATCATTTGTTTAGATTGATTTAGATTAATTCGTAATATTAGTTGGTTATTTTTACCGCAATGATGCAGTTACAATCGATATGTAATTAAAAGAAACCTTATTGAATTTCCTATAAGTTTACCAATACTGATACATTATTCCTAGTAGTATCTAAACTACCAATGTTTTGTATTAATAATATAATACGTATAAAAATATGTATAAAAATTTCCACTTATTTTTTGACATTAATAAATGAAAATAATTTTCTTTTGAGAACTTTTGAAATTTCGTTTAAAATTTTATGATTCTACATTAACTGCTAAAAATATACACGATAAAATATATATTACCTTTGCATATTATTCATATTAACTAAAATTATTAATTAAAATTAACGATAAATTTAGAGCTTTAATAAGAAGCCTTTAAGTAGGAAGACATTTAAATGAATTTAATAAATTAATGTAATTTGACAGTTATAAGAGCCCTAAGTATTCAATTCGAATAGTAAATTCGGAATTAGTATGAAGTATTTTAACTATCGATTATCTGAACGTTTGAGAAATTATGATCGTGCTTGAGTACATTGAGGTGTTTGATAAAGCACAATGTTACTCAATGGACCGTGAAATATAACGTGAAATATACGTGTATGCAAACGCAAAAAAAAAAAAAAAAAAAAAAAAAAAAAAAAAAATTTAGAAGAAAAAATTTAGAAAAAAATTGTGTTAATTATCCTTCGTTCTTAAATTATTTTGTCACTTCGCACTACTCTTCAAGAATCTTATCCTTTTAATAATAATAATAATAATAATAATAATAATAATACTAATATATTCAATTGATTTAAATTCATTTACAGTAGTTGTATTGCGTAAAGTAATGATAGTTTAATTGATTTATTTTTAACATTTTTATTTTTATCTATAATCATGATGAAATCCAAATATAATTTATATTGCCAATGTAAGTGTATTATTATTCTTTTTCTTCTTTTTTTTTAATCTTTAACAATGTACGTAATTTATTGTTTTATTCTACATACAATGTCTATAATTCTTATGTTTACATAATCTCACACTTTTTATTGAGGTAAAATTATATTCAAATAATAATCCAAACGAGATATAAAAAGTAATATTGACTTTTAATTTTCTAATATCACTTATAATATTTGCAATAATGTGTTAAGAAAATATTTTAAAAAGAAAATTCAATTAAGTTTTTTATTTCGTTACATATTGAAAATGAATAAGTTTTAAGTTCGTATTCAATATTTATTGCGAAGGTCGAAATTAATACCAATCCTTTAGAAAGAGTAGTTAAAGAGTAGTTTGTAAATATTTTCTTAAAATAGTTACATTAACACTGATGAAATTTAATATAATTAAATGCGATTTCTAATATGAAAGCTTTTCTTGTTGATTTTCTTCTATTCTGAATGGAATTTTTCGGATATATATTTGTTAAGGTATTTTTATTTATTACTTATAGATTTTTTTTTATTATTGTATTGCTGTATTCTAGTAGTTCAAATAATACAAGCATGTATCACAGAGTCACTTTTAAAAGAAAATTTTATAATTTGCTTTTCGGCTGGTGTAAGAACGAGAAACCACGATAAGATGATGTTAAATTACTATTGAAGTATACTTATTTTATGACCAAAAGTCACATAAAAGCCAAATAAATCACGTATCGTTTGTACAATAATGAAAATTGCGTATTAAATATATATCATACGAAATAACTATCTCTTATCTTTTAATATAAACTTACAATTATCCATAGGGAAAATGAACTACTGACTCGAAGAAAAGTCAAAGGCAACGATAAATACTATAATTGAATTTGTTGACTAACTGTATTTAAAGCAGCTCATTCGATGAAAATATAAAAAAAAAACATTGTTGTTTTAAAATATTTTGGGAGTATCGTATTTTCGATTTATTTAATTATTGGCTGTGAATGCTTGTTGTATATTAGCGTGTGGCGCTGAATAAATT